CAGATTCAGTGTGAATCACACAGCTCGGGTTCTTGATACGAGTTATGAGTGCATGTTAATCATGAGTTCATTCGGGCGTCCATTATTGGAGCTATTCGTCTGGGATCGCTCTCACGATTCCCGCCAGATGTTGGTACACCAGTCTAGCAGTCATTTATCGCGCGGGTGGCACGACAGATACACTACTCATGAGGCTGCTGAATTAAAAAACATAAACGAGAGATTTAGTTGGGTTCCAGCTGAGTCCCCCGCCAAAACAATATTGGCGTGCGAATGAGTGTGTCTTGCTGGATGCGAAAAAATACTCCATCGTTGCTGTGCTTCCTTCCGATTTGGCAACGATTTCTCAGTCAGGAATCAGACCATTCTCTGCATGTTTTCTACACATTTTCAACAGCTTTGCAAACGGCTGTCTAAGTTCGGTGGGGTTATTGAAGAAACTGAGTAACAGAACGATTGGAATGCAATCGCTCGCCAGGGATCCTTTGTTTACTGGTTTTATTTGGAAGGGAATGGCTATAGAAAAGATACACACAGGGAGAGAGATTCTGAGAAACCCGATGCAAGGTTATCCATTGCATGGTGTTGACGTCATTCCACACATCATATATCAGATGTAAGGAAGCTCTGTGTGAGCATCAACAATTGGAAAAGAACCCACAGGATCAATGAAGCCAGATGGTTCATCTTCGTTGGATCGAAGTACATTCAACTAGGTACAACCGGGTGACCTTCAGTTATGGGTTATTTGTCGATTAGCCAGCTCGACCAGAGTTGTCTGAGTATGATCACATAGTCTGCTGGCAAAAACATTCAAAGATATCCTCGAAAACTAGTGTCTTCACTCTTTTGGACTGTGAGCAATGTCTAGTTTTGTGCAACTTATCTGACAGGTACGAATTAGGACAGTGAAGCACCACTGTTCCCCACAGATCCCATGATCAATGATATTGAGGCATAAAGTAAAAGCGCAAAACTTAGCGATATGATCTGTTTCTGCAGTGAATCCACTGCCCTAGGGTTTTCTGCCCCATGGTTGTCTGGTTCTTCGGTAGAGCAGATCAGTCGTAAGGACCAGAAATGGGGAATTTCTTGAAAACTCTAAAGGCTCATTCGGTTTTCACCGGGACTACACTCGACCAATAGTCGTGATTTCCCATCGTTTTGATGTTGAACAACAGGTACAGAACACTTTGCCTGGGGGCTTTGGTGGAGATAAATGTATTCAAGTTTTATATTGGTGAATCCACATTGACTTCATTGAAAGCGTGCCGGTTATTTTGGAACCCTGGTGAACTAGTTCGTGATAAGTCAGTGTATTAGATGGGGAAACAACTAAGAAAGCAGTTGCACGAAAATCTACCTTCGCCCGGCACACCGGTCGATTCCACCTCGTGAGCCCTAATACTAAATCAGGACAGTGAGGGGAGGGGTGTTCTAACGTTTTGTGGTAGGTCATTTCAACAGTTATCAACACTAAAACAAACAAAGCAGATTAACTGACCGAGGGCCTTGAAAAGCAGCCATCCAGGACTCAAGTAACCTCTCGAATTGAGTTCCCAATGGCTAACGTTTCGTGCCAAGGTAGGAGCTTCTCTCTTAACTAAAGACCTTGGAAAAGTTTTCATCTCGAAGTAAGGCACTAGTTGGAACACTTTAAACTTGTCTTGATTGGTACACTTGATAGCACAGTGTATTACAATAAGATGGTAATTAATTACACGGAGAAGCTAGTCGCTTAGTCAGTCGACCCAGGATCTCGAGTGTCTCTTTGCTCAGAGGATTATTTTCCAGGTGAGAAACTAACCTTAACCTCGTTTATGGTCACAATTTGACGAATCTGAGTGGTCAAGATGCCGACTCACTGACCAGATGGTCCATGGTTTGAACATAACCCGTTAACCTCTTCTGTTCCCGTCTAGGTTTGGGGTAGTTGGAACACTTTAAACTTGTTATCTTGGTTGGTACACTTGATAGCATAGTGTATTACAATGAGATTGTAATTAATTACACGGAGAAGCTAGTAGCTTAGTCAGTGGACCAAGGATCTCGAGTGTCTCTTTGCCCAGAGGAGTGTTTTCCAGGTGGGAAACTAACCTTAACCTCGTTTATGGTCAGATCAAACAATTCGACGAACCAGCCGACTCACTGACCAGATGGGCATAACCCGTTAACCTCTTCTGTTCCCGTCTAGGTTTGGGGGAGTTGGCAGTGTCTAAGCCCTCGTAATTCCCCATGGTAGTGTAGAAGCTTGAGACCAAAACGATTGTAAGCTAAACGTTTATTACTACTTTTATTTGGACCATCAGACATTGATATCTCAAAATACCTATCAGACACGTTTCATTTCCAATTTCCAACCAGTGAGAAAGATGGAACTATTATACCTGTGCAAAGGTACTACTACTGGTGGGGAAGGGATGCGAGTAGTATGTTTCCTCGTATATCCGCTGTGTCTCTTGAAAAGTGAGATCTGTTGCGGAATTTGTGAAGTCGCCTTGTAGCATTTGCTTGGATTTGAGCAACAGTCAATGAATATCCAGGAAAGTTCAGGAAAACCGGTCCAATGAGGTGGATATTCAGTTTTTGTAAACAAGATGCATATGAGAGTTTTGCTTCTCTGTCCACTAGTCTGTAACTGTTCAGTTGGCATTTTCTAATAAATAACTCCTCAGTGAAGGCCTTCTTCCTTTCACCTGTAGCAGCTACCATCAGACAAAGGCTCATTCTGCTAGAGAAAGACAAATCCGACTTCACGTGACTTAGTTGACAACAGATCCGTCTTAGCCACCCGATTGTTACGCACACCAACTTTGGAAAAAAGTAAGATGGTGAGTCAGATGCTTGGCAAAATTAGGAGGACAAAATGTGAACTCTTGAGCAGCAAATCGATGGCAGAGTAGGTTTACGGTGCACTTGTGTGCGTGCGTGATATTCCAAGTTGAACAGTTAACAAGGACGAAAACGGTACGATACTGGAACACACATGGAAAT